TATATGGATGTATAATAAGAACGGCGGGAGAGTGTTGAGTACTGGCACGGTGCATGAGTACCGGAGTACCGCCAGCATGCCGGTACTGAGCAAGAAGTGCCGGTACTCCATGGGTCAGAACCAGAAGTGCCGCCGGTACTGCGTACCGGTGAGTACCGGCCCAATTCCAGCACTGATTTTACTTTAAAATGTTAAAACAAATCTTCCTGGGGGGGGGGGGGGCATAACCCGGACCCCCCTAGAGGATGTGACGTCCCCAAATCAAACATGTTCATTGAGTCCTAAATGCATTTCAAGCCTTTTTATATAAGCTGTCCACCATGTCAATACGTTTCTCTGTTTGCCTGCTCAAATCTTGCCTATAGGGCAGCAAATTGGTCAGAACCAGCCCTGGTGTCATCCCCACAGCACCCCCCATTTGAAACATGTTCCCACGGCTGTGTTGGACAGAGTATTTTAAGAGGATATGGTGGACATATTATCAGCATTACTTCCAGTCTGTACTTCGGCAGCAGCATTTTTACACCTTGGAAAGTCTTTAGAGAATTCCCTCATCAAAACTTAGCAGAAGTGGCTTGATTTTGTTCTCAGCAGGGGACTTTGACAGAGTATTCCTCAAACAATACACAGTAAAAGTACTTCAATGTATTGTAAGTAGTAGGCTAATACAAAGTCAAACAGTATCAATTTGATAAAGAACTAATGGTAAAATTATATTTTTTATCATTCATCAAAGATAGCAGAAAAACATGCATTATGGAGGGGACTCACAAAGTACACAGCAAAAGTACTTCATTTTATTTCTGGTAGAAGTCAAACTAGAACCGAGTCCAACAGTGTCAGTGTCAACTTTTGGTAAAACATATTTGTATCACTCGTCAAATATAGCAGGAATAATGAAGAGCAGCTGATTTGAAAAAACAAACTCGAGAGGCGGCGGAGTTGACTGCAGTGCAGAATCGCTGTATAGTTTAAATCTCCTAACAATGTTGTCCATTTTAGACAGAGGCTTATTATATTTACAGCCCTTAGTAACATCCATTTTCTGGGCTCAATATGTGTCTTGGCCGTTTTCGTTGTGATCGCTAAATTCACCTTGTTTCCCTTTGTTTATAATATTATCACCGCTTTTGTTTTGAAATCACTTACGTGAGTTTCGCCCCGCCCCTCGCTCCAATGACCATTTGACCTTTTAGTAAGGTAAAAAGAAAAACACGTGTATCTACCGTCCAATTGTTTTTATTTATTAAACACGTAAACAGAAGAGCGTCTGAGAGGCCTTTTTGCTTTTTGCTTTTTAGCTTACTAAATGGTCTAATGGTCCTTGCAGCGAGGGGCGGGGCGAAACTCACGGAAGTGATTTCAAAACAAAAGCCCTCGTTTGCTTGGAACGGTGATAATATTATAAACAAAGGGAAACAAGGTGCTTTTAGCGATCACAGCGAAAACGGCCAAGACACACATTGAGCCCAGAAAACGAATGTTATTAAGGGCTGTAAATATAATAAGCCTATGTCTGAAATGGTTGTTGTTAGGAGATTTAAACTATACAGCGATTATTATTCCTGCTATATTTGACGAGTGATACAAATATTTGTTACCACAAGTTCGTAAGGAAACTGACACTGTTGGACTCGGTTCTAGTTTGACTGCTACCAGAAATAAAATGAAGTACTTTTACTATGTAGGGTAGGCTACTTTGTGAGTAATCCTCTGTCAAAGTCCCCTCCATAGTAGCCTACATAATGCATGTTTTTCTGCTATCTTTGATGAATGATAAAAATATAATTTTACCATTAGTTCTTAATGAAATGTATACTGTTTGACTTCGTATTAGTTAGCATACTACTAACAATACATTGAAGTACTTTTACTGTGTATTTTTTGGGAAATACTCTGTCAAAGTCCCCTGCTGAGAACAAAATCAAGCCACTTCTGCTAAGTTTGATGAGGGAATTATTTTTTGTTGCCATTAGTTCTTCGTAAGATTGATCCTGTTGGACTCAGTACTAGTGAAACTACCCCCACAAGTAGCCTACTATGAAGTACTTACTGTGTACTTTTCCAGTAGCCTACTCCTCTGTCAATGTCCCCTCCTGAGTACAAGAATGCATGTTTCTCTGCTATTTTTGAATAAGCGTTACAAAAAACTTTCTTCCTGAGACTTATATTGTTGGACAGAGTATTTTAAGAGGATATGGTGGACATGATATCAGCAATACTTCCAGTCAGTACTCCAGCAGCAGCATTTTTACACCTTGGAAAGTCTTTAGAGTCTGGCCTGGATAGCTGGTCACAAATATCCTTCAGCACACTGACACACTCTGTCACATGGTTGCCCTCTTATGATGCTGCTGTCTTTTAAGATTATTTCTCAGCCGCTAGTTCATTCCTCGCAGATTCTTCAGTCTCATCAGCCTCATCCTTCCATCAGGCCCAGTCAACGCCTCCAGCACACTTCCAGTGTCTGACTCCATATGATATTGTCCTGATGCTGTAAGGGTGATGCCCCATGATCACAAAATGACCCCTCTAAAGTCTGAGTGCCAACTGCCAAGGACCTCATATTATGTCTGTCATTAATGTTACATCACCCATTATAACAGTTTTCTTTCATTTTTTCTCTTCTCTTAACTGAATAGTCCTGTCTTTAAGTATAATACAATGTAAAGTCTTTTTCCTGCACCCTTTTAAGGCTTCAAAACAGGCATTTTTAGTGTATGTTTTTGGAGAAATGACACAATCAATGGCCCAGAATTGTACTTTATAAACTCTGAATCTTGTGGTGCTTGGTGAAATACAGACTGGTTAAGTCTGTATTTCAGACTAGCTTCTAGTTCTAGTTCTAGCAGACTAGTTCAGACATAACCAGGTTATATATGTATGTGTATATATATGCCTTTTTTGGAGCCCTTTTTTGTAATATTTATTAAAATGTCACTAGTTATTTGAACAAACCACTATCTGAGGATAACAAGAAACCATAAAGCGCCCTTTATCTAGAGAGCCATTGAAGCCCATGAAGAATGTATCCTTCCACAAATCTTTTCATCTGCTGTATTAAAAAAGTTGCCACGTGTTTCCAAATTCAAGTTAAGGCACTATCTGTGCAGATTAGAACATTACAAATATTCTTAATTTGCAGCATTTAAAAAAAAAAAGTGTTCAGAAAGACTGCATCAATTATATGCTATATATCTATCTATCTATATATATATATATATTTGTATTAACTAACCAAAGTCAATTTAAATAGCGGGCACAAATGGATTAATTGCCATGGATGTGGTGTTTGATATAGTTTACGTTCAATTTCAACTATTTTAGGCAGAAACACGTTTATTGACTAAACCTTTTTTAATAATTTACTATAATTTAGAAAGGTTTTTGTGAGAAATCATTTCAAAAGTAAACTTTTTTTCATTTTATATTTGAAATGTTTGCACACAACATTATTAATTTATACATTTTTATCAATTAAAAAAAAATTATGAATCCATTTATTTTATTGTGTTTCCTTGAGGCTGGGGAAGATATCCAGTATGTAGTTCAACATGTACATGTTCTAATACAAGTAAGTATAACATGGAAAAGGAAATAAAATACGTTTCATAGGAGGATGTGGATTTATTTTCTCTCACCTTGTAATTACACAATCAAACAATCTATAATTTAGCTCTGGCCTTCACTCACAAAAAAACATTTTGTTGAATTGGACACATTTTTCGAAGCTCTAATGACTGACATGCAATGACTGGGACTGATGGAATAATCCGTGAGGAATGAACTAGGAGCAGAGAAATAATCATATTTTAAAAGACAGCAGCCCCATAAGAGGCCAACAAGCGTGACAGAGTGTGTCAGTGTGCAGAAGGATAGACCAGCTATCCAGGCCAGTCTCTATAGACTTTCCAAGGGGTAAAAATGCTGCTGCCGGAGTACTGACTGGAAGTATTGCTGATATCATGTCCACCATATCCTCTTAAAATACTCTGTCCAACAATATCAGTCTCAGGAAGAAAGGTTTTTTAACGCTTATTAAAAGAAAAACATGCATTCTTGTTCTCAGGAGGGAATATTGACAGAGGAGTACTGGAAAAGTACACAGTAGGCCTAAGTACTTCATAGTAGGCTACTTGTGGGGGTAGTTTCACTAGTACTGAGTCCAACAGGATCAATCTCACGAAGAACTAATGGCAACAAAAAAGAATTCCCTCATCAAACTTAGCAGAAGTGGCTTGATTTTGTTCTCAGCAGGGGACTTTGACAGAGTATTTCTCAAAAAATACACAGTAAAAGTACTTCAATGTATTGTACGTAGTAGGCTAATACAAAGTCAAACAGATATCAATTTCATTAAGAAGTAATGGTAACATTATATTTGTATCATTCATCAAAGATAGCAGAAAAACATGCATTATGGAGGGGACTATGACAGAGGATTACTCACAAAGTACACAGTATAAGTACTTCATTTTATTTCTGGTAGAAGTCAAACTAGAACCGAGTCCAACAGTGTCACTTTCCTTAAGAACTTGTGGTAACAAATATTTGTATCACTCGTCAAATATAGCAGGAGAAATGAAGAGCAGCTGATTTGAAAAAGCAAACTCGAGAGACGGCTGAGTGACCGCAGTGCAGAACCGCTGTATAGTTTAAATCTCCTAACAATGTTGTCCATTTTAGACATAGGCTTATTATATTTACAGCCCTTAATAACATCCATTCTCTGGGCTCAATGTGTGTCTTGGCTGTTTCCGTTGTGATCGCTAAATTCACCTTGTTTCCCTTTGTTTATAATATTATCACCGCTTTTGTTTTGAAATCACTTCCGTGAGTTTGGCCCCGCCCCTCGCTCCAATGACCATTAGCCCAGTTAGTAAGGTAAAAAGCAAAAAGGCCTCTCAAACGCTCTTCTGTTTACGTGTTTAATAAAGAAAAACAATTGGACGGTAGATACACGGATTATAAATAGTCCATTAACTAGCTATATTTCATATGAAAAATGTAATTGACAAATTAAGCTGACGTAAAACGGTATACAGAATACAGTTCTGCAAATAAAACAACATTAATGGAAGATCACTCTTTAATTGAATGCTCACATATTGTTAACCGCTTCATAGTAATCTATTCATACTTGGAAAACTTTTTTCCTTCTCTTTATGTTAGTTCTTTTTTCCCATGTTGAGTTTTTGCTAGTTACGTTTTGGGAACAAAAAAGGATAAATGAAATGTATTGTTAAACTGATACAACTTCAAAACATCTGACTTTCATTTAAAAGCCCTTCCAATATATTTGGAAGAATATGGGGTCTATGAGGTTATTTCCTACTCATTCCAGGAAATTAACTGGTTTAAAGTGGAATACATAATATGGTTATTTTGTTATATGCTGGTGTACTGACTTGTCTATTACTGACATGTTTATTATCCGATGACAGTTTTTTCTTTTGGTAATGGTTGTTGTGTTATTTAAGTTTGCTCAATCTTTGTTTTTTGTTGTTTAGAAATATGTCAATTGTCCCTTTTAGAATGTCTTTGTATAAAAGGTAATCATTTTTTTAAAATGCTCTGATGATGCAAATGTATGTTCATAAAACCCAATCAAAAAACACCTAGCAAGAATTCAGAAACATGTTTTGCCCGACGAACACCTTCTTATCACACATTTCTCTCCTGTCATCCATGCAATTTTTGCCTCATATGACCTCCATCCCCATCTTTTGTACCCCATTTTGCAGTAGCCTCTTTTTCCCAGCGCTTTATTCTCTCCCTCTCTCTGTCCTGTTCCCCTCAGTTTCCCAGCAGCTCACAGTGAATTATCTCACCCACTGCTCCCTCTTTGTGTCCATGATTTCTCTCCATGTTCGTCCCTTCAAACCTTTCTGTCCATCTCTCACTTGCTGAGAACTGATCTGATGCCTCATGTGTCAGAGTGGAGCCAGTAATGCAACATCCAATCTCTCGCTGTTTAGCAGAGCTGTGGACGGTGGGATCACTGGACCTAGTTGGTTTCCCCCCCTACCCTCTCTTTCTCTCTCCCTCTCTCTCCCTCTCTCTCCCTCTCACTTGCTCCTCATCTCTCTGTTCACTTTCAATTATTTCTGTGTATGGGCAAGAAGGGCTAACATGGACTCTTTGGGTCTTTGTATCCTTCTTATGCTTCTGTGTTTCCAGTGGACGACGGCCCCGGCTGCTGGTAAGCGGGTTAGAAAGTTTTGTTTTGATTTTGTGGATTTGTTTGGGTGTTACGATGTGAGTACTAGTCGTTGGACTTGAGTTCTTGAGCACTTTGATTGAACTGGAATCATGTTAGGAGCAGCAGTAGATAAGAAGTGATGAAAGTCTCACATATTATAGAGTGATTTGAAACATATAATATTTTGTTGTGATGCTTTAACATGTTCTTTGTTGAAAATCTATTTTGAATCACAGTGAACTTTAAATGGCTGAAAGATAAACGCTTTTTTGACGTTTTTTCTCTTTTTCAGAGGAAATTACCTGGACCTACACTGGTGAGTTCAAGCTTATTTGTAGCACCACAACTCGTGCAAAGGAACTTCAAAGGTGCAGCAGAGAGCGATACAAAAAGAAATAGAAAGTGGAAGATGATCTGGGAACATTTTACATATCTCAGATATAATTAATCCTTTAGGACTGGACTATTAAGAGCTTTATAGAGCAGGAGCAAAATCCAAACGTCATGGATAGTATTTTATACGATAGATTTCTGTGTCTCCTAATTCAGGATGATTTGCGGTAATGTAGTCTGCTAATAACAAAGACTTGCACACGTTCACTTAAAAATAAGTGCTGCTATCCAATGAGTAAAGAGTCTTTGCAAACATTCAAATGATCATCAAATCTTCTGTAAGTTGGGTAGGATTTGTGTATTCCCCCTCATATCTCCCGACCCATGCCCCTCTGTTTTCCTCTACTTCTCTCTCTGTCTGTATTAGTTACAGTTCAACAAGCTGGCATGAGAAAATCAGCCACAGAGAGATGATTAAGGGGAGGAGGGAGATAGAGAGGAAGAAAGCGAGGAAAAGGCAGGGTGTGAGAAAGGCGGAGGGAGGCAGGTGCACGAGGATGAGGGTGTTGCACAGAGAGAGGGAGATGGGACGGGATGAAGCTAAAGCATAGCAAATCGTGGCCTTGTATTGTTGCAGGGCACAATAACCTATGTGTTTATTGTGTTGTGGAAACACACTGGCTGCCTATGCCGTGGACAATGACATTGTGGGGATGAATGGGGCACACAGACCGTCACTCTCTGCATGTATTCAGGGGAGCAACACCGGCGTACAGTATACAGAATACACAGCAAACTGTGACTGGTGCACACTGGTATCTTTACATAGTAGGCCATTTAGGCTTTATAATGATCAATATAAAAGGCACGTTTGTTGTGCAGAAAGGTGGTGAAATCGTAGACTGGTAGTGGACATGTTTAGTGACATGTGTCTTGGTTCAGATGGTTTGTTTTCGTCAAGAATCTTCAATATAAAAGTCCCTGGGATTCAATGTGAATGAGTGAGGGTGTTCGTGTTTAAGGCGTGTTGTGTGATGCAGCCTTGCATGATGGGGCCGTAGCTGCGCTGTCAGCTGATGTGGAAATTCAGTTTTGTTAGGCACAACATTTTTTGTCACACGAAAGAGCACAATTACACCGTTTCTTTCCACGAGAGACGGACAGTTATGTAAAGTAATCAAAGGAGAGTCAGTCTCACATTCCATCATTTCCTCATCGTGTGTGTGTGTGTGTGTGTGTGTGTGTGTGTGTGTGTGTGTGTGTGTGTGTGTGTGTGTGTGTGTGTGTGTGTGTGTGTGTGTGTGTGTGTGTGTGTGTGTGTGTGTGTGTGTGTGTGTGTGTGTGTGTGTGTGTGTGTGTGTGTGTGTGTGTGTGTGTGTGTGTGTGTGTGTGTGTGTGTGTGTGTGTGTGTGTGACCTCCAGTTACCATGGAGACCCCATGGTGACCTGTGGCAGGGCCGCGGGACTCACTCTTGTAGTCGTGGGTCGGGGCTTTGCTGTGGAGAGCAGTGAGGGGCAGGGGGGAGAGCAGTGGGGAGGAGATGTGGTATGTGTTCATATTGCTCATGTAAAGTCCCTTCCTCACATTGTGTGTGTGCAAACAATGAGCCATGGCTTTCAAACACTGTATAGTCCATATATGCATTGTGGGGTCAAATGCATGCCAGTTATGAACTCTAAACTATGCTAAATCTGCGATCACTAATATATGTTTTGAGATGTTTTTAGCACACCACTGAAATGTTTTTGTGTCGTCTGTTTTCTAAAGCATTCCTCTCCTTGCCATTGAAATTCACCTTCTTTGATTCAAATGTCACTCTCTTTTTCTTTCAGACTCTTTTTTAAACCTTCTTTTATCATGCAATTGGGGAGACTAGTTCCTCTTTTTATTCCGTGAATAAAAGGACCTGAATATCTTCTCTCCCTCCTTCACCCCCTATAACACTTCTCTGTCCAATCTGCAATTAAATTAATATTAATCTTCACCACGCCAATTGGTGCACGATAATTAATACAGCATATTTTGCTATATAAGTATACAGAAGTATGCAGTATATACACTAGTACATTAGACATTAGTGTTATATAGCAGAGGACCTTATATGCTGTTGATTCTTAACCATTCAATCTGTATATTGATTCATATTTTGAATCTTGACATTTTGTTGTGCTGTCTACTTTCAACATTAAAATGTTTTACTTTGATTTTCAGCAGACTTTTAAGATGGTTGAGAACCAAAATAATTCATATTTTTTTGTGTTTATACATGAAATTGGAAAAATACATTTTTAAAAGGTCAACATTAATTAGAAATCTTAAAAATGTGGGATTTAATTTGCAGTACATCATTTTGAGATTTTTTTAAATAAATGTAAAATTAAACAAATATTCAATGAAAGAAGGAACTTTATTAAAATAATATAATAACATATTAAAAAGGAAATATATTTTCTGACCTCAATGTCATTTTACTCAATAAAACATTGAATTATTTTTTTATTCAAAATATCTTTTGATTTACCTTTGCAACTTTAACATGTCGTCATTTAGTATCATATTTTTCATGCACTTATTTAAGGCTCAAGTATAATTCAGTATTGATTGATAGCGTATTTTAAAATGTATTATCAGATGAACCTCAGTTAGTTTATGAAGTGCCACGATCATCTGCTTTTCTTGGTAGCCGTTCACACACACACACACACACACACACACACACACACACACACACACACACACACACACACACACACACACACACACACACACACACTGTCTAAAGGTTTGCAGGACACAGGGTTAATGCTAAGCAGGAGTGTGTCAGGGTAAGAATCCGTACAATTCCTATCCTGACACAGGGGTTACGATTTAATGCGTGGAGATATATCGTGATTCAAACATACCACTATAGGCCACCAGTTTTTCAATCCGAGCCAATCTTGCTTGTAATCTATTATTAATAGTGTTTGTGAGAATCAAAATAGCACAAATTATAATGCGATAATCAAGTGTATTGATTTAGTGTTACACTCCTAATAATGAAAGCAGCGTCCCCAATTTATTATTTAAAAAATCAGTTATAATCCTTATAGCAACAACATAAAAAGTTGCCTTGTGTATTCAGAGATAGGCTATGTTTATGGTATACTCTCGATGCCTTTTATATTGTACTTTTGCTTTTTATTATTCTATTTTTTTTACGTTTTATATTGAACCGTATGAGGCTGTTTACCTAAGGACAACAACAATAGTGGGAGCAGGGGTAATCGTCTCGTCTAATTAGGGACTGATCAATGGAGGCTTTTCACTGAAGGACAGTGAGCCAGCAGGCTGTGTGATTTGATGACCTCACTGCCTCTTCTGTCTCTTCAAAGGCTTGGTGGGTCAGACCGAGTGGTCGGAGTACTTCCCAGACTGCGCTGGTAATGCACAGTCCCCCGTTGAAGTGGTGACCACACAGACGAAATATGATCCCAGTTTGTTACCTCTGACCCCTCTGGGCTACAGCCAGCACGGCAACAAGCCCTTCGCTATGTACAACAATGGACACACAGGTAACTATGGCAGCCATCTCCTAACATCACCCTCTCAGAATTATCCCAGCAGCCTCCATCTGTTTATACTGCACCATCGCCCATGGCAACATGGCAGCAAACATTTCACTCCCAATATGTAAATTCACGACTAAATCTAACATTTAAGATTTGTTTTAATAAATAATCCTCCATGCACTTTCCCATCATACACCTAGTTCTCCTGTACAGTTATCGTTCCTCTGACAGCTCTTGTTTTTCTCCACCAGCGGTCATTGAGCTGCCAGAGTGGATGGGGCTGGGGGGGCTGCCCTGGCTCTACACAGCCGTGCAGATGCACCTCCACTGGGGCAGCGGCGGCCCGAGTCACGGGGGCGGGGAACACACCGTCAACGGGATGAGCGCAGATGCAGAGGTGCGTTCAAACACAGTTTACTGTCAACAGTTAAATCCAGTTAGATTAAAGGGGGGTCATGGTCAAGTAGTGAGGCAATTCTAGTTTTCTAAGGATGAATTGAGAGTCTTGTAATTAAATTGAAGAGATTTTACTGCAATGGCCAGGAAAAATAAAGAAGGTTAAATGATCAATTGACACACAGTAATGATTCTCACTGATCAAAAGACAAGTACAGTCACAGAGACAAAGGGGAGGGTTACAATTCCAATTACAACTTGCTAACCTTTGGAGATAAGTGTATAATTACAAAATTTCAATCGAATCACAAAGATTTCATTGCAGATAAAAAGTAGATTACACTGCAGATTTGTAATAGTGCGTGATTATATTTCATCAGGACACACACATCTACATATGAGGGTGGGTGTAACTGTCTATAGGAAGCTTTCATTGTTTTCACTGAAATGTCAGTGAGTTGTATTGTATTTCTTCTAGCAAAAATGACAACATTTCCCTCGTTGTAGCTCCACAAATGTGATTTTTTTGTTTATTTTTTAATTTTTATATATGACTGTAAAGGGTCTGCAGGGCTTGGCCTGGTGCATGCCATTAGTTCACCATCCAAATAAAAGCAATCCATTGATCGTGAGAATAATCAAATCGAAATGATGCGTTCATTAGGAACAAACAGTCTCTCTACAGACAGGGTGGAATTAAATTAGAACTATTTTCTGTTGGTTTGTGTCTTTAAACCTGAGAAAAGCGGAGAAAGAGTATAATAGTGAGGAAAGTAAAGCCCCTCTGCACCTCGGTTCCTCTCCGTCTATCACTCTCAAGGTTTTCCAACACAAAGCTTTCTTCAGGGGTGAGTGGCTGGAGAGGAACAGGCATGGGGGAAGTTAAGCAGATTTAAAAAGACCAAAACCATGCAGACTCAGGGAAAATGACCAACAAAATGAAAGAGATAAATAGTATTAGTTTAAAAAAAGAAGAAATGGAACCTCTCATGCATAAGTAGTCTATTTACCTAATGAGACAATTAAGCTTGGACTCAGTGTCCTCGTCCCTTTTTTGTTTTTGGAATGGGTTTAAAAGAGAACAGTTTGCACGCAACCTTGCCTTTTTGTGTCTTCTATTAACTCAGAGCTGTACCCAGAATACACCAGGACATCTTTCTCATGAGTGTGAATAAAAGCAGTCTCTTCCCCTCTGCAGCTCCATGTGGTGCACTACAACTCTGAGCTCTACCCAAACATGTCCAAAGCGATGACGCAGAGCGACGGCCTGGCTGTTTTAGGGATTCTCATTGTGGTAATAAAACCGATGCAAATAAACAGTAGCATTAGTAGTATTTTGTGAAATGTAAAAACACATTTAAGCCTGAGTTTTGGTTTCCTAGACAGGTGAGGAGACAAACCTGGCATTTAACAACATCCTCAACTACCTGGGTCGCATCAGACACGCTGGTAGGTCTATTTGAAATGTATTAAAACATGTATTGTTTTTATTTACATGTGTTTTAGGCAAAACATGAAATGTAACCAATTTTTTGGGCCATTGATTTTATATTTGGCTTTGGCAGTAGTGTCTATATGACCCCACAAACTCTCTCTCTTCCTCTCACCCATTGGCAGATCAGAAGGTGTTCATCCCAGCCTTTGACGTGCAGACCCTCCTCCCTGAGGATCTTGGGAGATACTTTCGCTACAACGGCTCCCTAACAACACCGCCATGCCACCAGAGTGTGACCTGGACTCTGTTCAATGAGAGGATTCAAATCTCTCCGGCACAGGTAAAGCTGAGACACGGAGACTCATCTAAAGCATACAGAATCCCTCTGTAGTCAAACAAGCCTCAACTCAGTGTTCACCTTCATGCAGGCACTGATTGCACTGTTGATAATGTATCCTCTCTAACATAAACTGATCCAACATGCAGGAAAACATTGTCTAATGCCTGAATAGAAGATAAACCCTTTTTTGTATTGGCTGAACAAAGACTCTCAGCCCAACCGATATATATAGAAGTTTTATCATTAACATATTTGTTTGTTTATTGCATCTGATTATTGGCCTTATACAATTATATTTTGCGAGTTATTATGCTGCATTATCAAATCCCCATAGAACATTTAATAACAATAAAAAACAAACGTGTTTTCTCATCGACTAATTGCATCATTTAGTTGAAATACTGCACATAAATCTGCATTGTTGTGGATGATGGTGAAAAGAAACTGAAAATAGTCTTCTTCTATTCCTTACATTGATTAAATTGGTGGATTTGCTGCAATACTTGATACCAAGATGATTTAGTCCAGTCATTTTACATTTTATTTTTTTAAATACACGTATAAATAAACTCTGCTCATTTGAGGAACATCGCAATAAGTTAAATTATTTGTATGTCCATCTATTGCCAAGATAACATTATGATATTACTGGAAAGTGGTGAAAGTAATCAATCTACTCAGTTATGTACATTTTCATCCCTCTCCTCTTCACCTCTCCACAGCTGCTGAAGCTGGAGACGATACTTTACTCGAGTAAAGCTGAGGGTCCAGACAGGATGCTGCTGCAGGACAACTACCGCACGACACAGCCGCTCAACCACAGGGTCGTCTTCGCCTCCTTCTCTGCAGGTCAGACAGACAGAGCATGTAGGAGAAGATAATTCATCATTATGTTGACTGCAGACATACAGAACAACACATACTCTGTTGGGAATCAGACAATTGCTGAACTGTTTTCCCTCTCCAAGAGTACATACTTATACTACTTATACTATACTATAATTATAATTTGAGATTATATAAATGTGCAGTTGCAAAATGTCAAAGCCAATCTGCTATAAACTCATGTGCTTTGGTCTAACAGCCTTTCTAAATCGGTGGATTATAATGCAGCATGCTGCTTTTAATGCAAACCCCAGTAACAAGCCAGCGGGAGGCCGGGTGGACCAAAGCTAGCAATTAGCACAATCCATGCAGAGAGGGAAAAGTGGAATGTGGAGAGAAATGTGGGAATATTAGGGATTACCGGTGACTGTGTGCGAGTGAAAGAGACTTTGGACGGCAGGACTAGAAAGAGAGAGGGACAGGACTAAAGGAGAAAGGGGTGGAAACTATTTCTTTGTGTTTATCTGTTTTATTGTGTTGCACTGTTGGAGGAGCCTGTGACCTAATATTTTCATCGTCATAACTGCACTGTAGCTATGTACGTATGACAAATAAAAGCCTTGAAACTTGAAAGCGAGGGGCAGCAGTGTTAGTTTGCTAGCTGATTAGAGAAAAGGATTTGCAAAAACTAAACAGTGACTCCATTGTTGTCACGGGAGTCTAACTGAGAAAAAAAGGGAGTGAAAAGAGACACAGAGAAGTGAAAGAGGGAGAAAGAGTGGTAAGCAAAGACAAAGGAGAAAGAATTTGTGTAAAGTGCTCATTGTGGTGAGTGACTGAACTGGAAGGTCTGTGATATCAGCACGGCTGTTAAAGGCAACACAACTGAATAAGAATAAGATTGTCATGCAGACTAACCAGCTGAGATAAACCAATATATAAATGTGTACGGACTAAAACTCTACTGTGATCTAATGATGTGTCCAATCTTTTATCTGTTGTAGAATCAGGGAGGGAGCTCACTTCTGGTAAGACTTCACCTGATTATGATGTTTTAATGATAAAATCAATACTTCAAATAATACTTCAACTTGTATTCCCTGTGCAGGTGAAGTCACAGCTATAGTGATAGGAGTGATGTGTGGCTGTGTTGGTCTGTCAGTGATCATCCGCTTCATCGTAAAGACGATACGGTAAGTCATTTCTGTCTTTCTGGACACCACTCGGCCATCTTAGTATCCCATCTCTTCTTACTCTACATCTCCTATCTCTTGGCAGATTTTTTACCCTCCTCCACCGTGAATCAGTTGTGGTAAACAGGTGGTTTACCTGCTCTTAATATTGACAAGGAAGCACAACTTGCACTGACACTGTGACAAATTCTTCTTGTGCTTGAAAGATATCCTTAAGCGCTGATCTTAGATCAATACCATGATAAACAATGGGTTATTAAAGAAAACTGGATATAATTGTAGCCTTTTAAAATCCTTACAACATTTGATTTTAGGGGAAATTAAAGACTTATGCGTAACACATGATATAAATGATAGTCTAATGGGCTTGGCTGATATTGGCTTATCAAATATTGACTAAAATTGAAATATGTAAAAAGAAATGCAAAAAGACATTTACAAAAGCATGCAGAAACTGTGCATATTATATCCACCTGCCAATCTTCTATTTGTTTGGTCACAGTTCCTTAATAACTCATTCTAAATATCAATTTAACAAGATAATTATTCTCTTATTAAGTATCCCCTATTGATATAAATTGATGTTTATATGAAACTTTGGGTCGGGTAACCTCCTCAAGAATCAACAGGAACCAGTGAGTAAACCCAGTCATTTGATGAGTCCTGATTCAAAACACCACCAGCTTTCGGTCAAATAACAATATAAGCATTGGTGTCGTTGGTTGGCCTGTATAGAAAAAGTCAGTAAATCCTCTTTGAAAAAGTTAAAAGCAACCCTAAAATCAGCGCTAAGGATAATCTGATTCCCTGACCTCTGCTGCAATAACATGGCTGTTTTCCAGAATGTTCTTTCATAACCACCACTCATTAATGAAAGCATGATGGGTCCCATCGTCAGTGATTTAACCTTTCCACTCTTTGATCAGGGTTCACAAAGCTCCCATATATGTGCTATTTCAGTTTTGAGTCTTTCACAACAAAATAACACATATTTTTTTCTTACTGCATTCATCAGTCTAGATTGTTTTGGTGTGAAGTTTCAAGTATTGGACATTTTGGCCGTGGAGATATCTGCCTTTTTTTTAGATTATATTCGAACAAGATGGCCCTCAGATTGCATCGCTCAGGGCGCAAAAAATTACATTTGAAAAAAATTCAACAGCAATGTCTCCGGGTTACTCCAAATAATCATTTAAATATGATATAGCAAATTTGATATAGCAAATATTTTCTTTCTGCGGATATCTCAAACAAATCACACCAAAACTATCTAGATGATAGATAGCACTGAAGAACATGTAAGATCAAAAATGGATTTTTAGGTGAACTGTACCTTTAAGAAATCTATGATTTTTATTTTGTACAGAAATGAATTATTATTTGAACTGAAGATATAATAAGACTTCTGATCAGAGATTGGATCTTTAAATGCTTACAGTGAAATTATCATACCCTTCTTTATCTTGGAGTCCCCTGGATTCTTTTTTGGGAGCCTTCAGGGAGACCCACTACAGAACCATCGGCTTTCGTAATGTCCATCAACCGTGTGCATTTACTTTAAACTTCTATAGAGGAGGGGAGGGAGTGTGTTTTGCACACTGTCTCTTTGAAATGTTAAACCCAAGATGTTCTCTGTGTTTGGTCATGTGATTTTGTCTTTTGATCTGTGACAGCTCTACCTCTAGCTGGGACGTCCTTCCCAGTAGCCGGCCTGCTCCCATGTCAAGGTCAACGCTCAAAATTATAACTTTTGACCTTAAAACCATAACTTCTAAAAGTTAGATTCCAGTTTTAATCATCCATTCATAGTGGCTTATTCTCTAGACTTTAACCCCTCTCATTAGAGTTTCAGTGCACAAAGATATTCCGCAGTCTTTAAGGAAAATATTATTTTATATATTTATATTGTAAACTTTCGGGGAAGTTCAAGGGCACACAGTGTTGCCTGTGTTTTAGATCAGTCAATACTAAGAAGAGGAATCCTATAGTCCTGCAGTTTTAGATGTAAGAGTTTTGTCAGCTGGCTAAGGATGCAGTGCACCTTTAGCTGAACATCCTGGATGTTCACCGGATTCTGATGTTCTGGTTCTTTGCAGCTTGAAACGTGTCAACAAAAATACTTTTTATTTAAATAAGTCTCCAGGAGACGTTGACACCGTGACTCATTCGAGATGCAGACCCATCCAGCATAGATCCACATGAATGCATTTCTTCCCTCTTTGTGTATCATACCATGACTGATCTGAACTTAAGTATCCATTCAACTATCCTATAACATATCTCAATCTTGGAGGACTAAAAACAACTCATAATGGACTTCAATTCAACATAATTTAAGACTGCTAGTGGTTCTAAACTTGAGCGCCAGACTCATTTCATCCTTCTGGTTATTTTTTAACAAATGGGGACCTCTGCTGGACAACAGAACAAACTACACTGACAGCATTTAAGCGGCAGTGGAAATGACTCTTCCCTTTCATGTTTCAGGATGAAGGAGCCAGAGGAGGAGAAAAAACAAGACATGGCTCTGAACTCGACCTGTGAAGCAGGAAAGAAAGAAGAACCCTCACCTTCTCCACAGACGGATCCATAGCTCCACTTCAGGACTTCAGGCCAGATACACGCACAACATACTTTCATCTTCCCTCTTGCCAATGTTGTTATCACTGATCCATGTTTGTTCTGGGGACAGAAAGCAGAATCAGTCACAAAAGGCAATAGGGAAACCTTTATATAGTAAACTGGACACAGGACTAATCACCTGCTGCCCTGATCACTTTTTTCCCCATCTAAATTTAGTGATGTTGGCAGTTTTGGTATCAGACTTTTTTTCCGTTTGCATGTAAATACAGTTTGCTGGCTCTCGGGAGTCTGTTTGCTCTTGCAATGTCTGGGATGCATGATTGGTTCATATATATACTGTAATATATATTTTGTTTTGTTGTGTTTGTTTCACGTTTGGCCGTTATTTCATTTTTCCTGCCTTGAAACACAAGCACACTGCACTGAAAGACATGTAGTAGACTTATTGAATATTTACCTGTGCTATCATACCCTATATTATGTTATTATTTTATTTTGCCCCTGGACTTGACACTATCAAATCAAAAGGTATGATGAAGGTTTTAAAGTGCGTTTTTAAGTATAAAATAATGTTGTCCAAACATTACGTCTCTGAACTCAACTGAGGGCATTATATTGAAAATGAATAAGTTATATTTATGTGTTGAGTCTATTAGAACGTGTTTTTTTTAGCCATTTATTATCTTTTTTTCTTCTCTTTTGTGTATATAACTGGTCAACGTGGGCACCTCATTAAAATACTTGAATGGGAACCACACCTGCTTTGGTTTTGTCATTACGTGTGTTGTTATGATCATATTTTCAAACAGTAATATTACATTGGTGAAATATTGTACAGGAAGTCTACAATGCAATCTTAAAGAAAGACAGTAATACAAAAATAACCCCATAAGTACTTGCCTTACCAACATTGTTTAGAGAACCCCAATTTGTGAACCTACTGTATTAAACAAACTATAAATTGGCATTAAACTTTGTTTCCTGCCTTCTTGCTGTTCATGGCAGCAAGAATGTCTTAAGAACTTTTTCTAAATAGCTGTCTATTTAGACAGACAGAAATGTGTCATTGGTTGTGCAAATATGATTCATAAAAACACATCACCCAGATAGGAAGCATTAAAACACTTTTACATAAAACACAGAACACCATAGGAGCCACATTAAAGCAGCAGTCGGTACTGGATGGTGAGGTCTGGGTCAATGTTAAATTAAAGTGGCTTTTTCACTTATTAAGATACTTAATAGCGACAAACAAGAATAATTTCTTTGAAAGAAGCTCTTCAAATTTGGGAACACATAAAAGCACAAGTGCGCATATACTTGAATCCTGTAAGATGTCGTTTTGACCAGGTAAAATAATAATAGAGAAACAATTTGACAGTAATGTAGACAAAGCCCCTTTTACAGGATTCACACAGCTGGCCTGTCGTGCCAGGAAACACAAAACGTATGCCACTAAATCTATTCTTTGAGGATTTCGGCAAGCTGTGATTACACAAATACTCCTGTACATACATAGGTATATCGGTCTCCATTCTTGTTCTCATTTCCTCATCTTTTTCCTCAGTTCCCTGTGGTCTCCCTCCCTCTTTAAACCATACCATGTTTTCTGCTCTAATCAAACAATGATGGTTTTGGTGGGTCAGCATGCCCACACTTTTGTCTGTGAATGTGTGTGATACACTGTTTGTTGTGTTGTGTTATCAGGTCACACAGAGCAGTGGCTCTTAAATGTTTTGATTTGCGACCCTTTACATTGAAACCCTTCAGAGTTATTGTACCCGTGGTGAGGTCCTATAACATGCCACTGACCTAGAAGTAAATCATAAGAAAAATATACAATTTTAAAAATGTAATTCATGACACTTGTCTACAAAAACACAATAAAAGCCACATTAATACTATAGGTACTCAAGGTGTGCACTCACTTAAGTGTAATTAAAGATATTGAGGTAGCAAGCTGGCTTAGCACATAGCAGTAGCTGTGTAGTAACAGCAGTGCTGAGGCACTTGGCACCAAAGATAGCTCACTGGACCTTAAAAAGTATTTATGGCTGTAACACCATCATGCCTCCCCTTGCTCTAAAGCACAGCCGTGTGGACATATTTCAGTGATGCACACACACAGTTGAGGCTCCTCCCTTTCAGACAGGAAGAGAAATGAGGAATTGAAACTGAACAACAGAAGAAAGGTCTTATATCAGGAGCTTCAAACTCACTGCTCACAGACACATGTGTGCTGCCAAAACAAGGTAGGGAAGTGATCATCCAGCAGCTGTTGTCTATATCCTATCCTGCTTTGATGTTTGAAAACTCCCAGACAGCTGCTGTACACACATTGTTTCCTTTACTATGTGTCCTATCACTTATGTGGTAGAACAGAAACATTAAGAGGTAAAGGATTACTTAGGGGTGTTCAAGGTGAAAAGCAGTTTTTCGTACTGTTTTGACTTTGTAGTATTTGTTTCCCTCTAGGACTGCTGGGTAATGGCTGCCCTCAGGATTTTCCCCCTTCTCTCCGTCTGTCTCCTGCTGGTTCATCAAGCCTTTGCCATAAACGACGCTCCCTGCCAGCTCTCCAAAGGGAACTACGCCTTCAACAACTTCAAGAAGCGCCACATTCCCTCTGGTACTCCTACTACTCTGGACCAGAACCAATGGATGAATTTCATCAAGAATAACGGCGACTGTTCCAGACCCACCCAGTCCTTCCTGCACCCGAGCGACCTGGACAGGGTGATGGCTGTGTGCACATCCAAGGGGGGAGCCACGTACAAGGAGAACATGTGCATCAGCCGGCAGCGTTTCAGCTTTGTCACCGTGAGGAGCGAACCGGGGACGTGCGGCATCAGGAGCGTCATAGAGGAAACCAAACATCTGATCCTGGCCTGTAATGAGCTGAGCAATCAGTGCCTGCCGGTCCACTTTGAAGGAAACCCTCGAGATTTAAAACCAAGTAACAACGCCAAAGGCTGCCAGGACCCACGCACTGGTGATGCTCCCAGCTTCAAACTGACATGGCTCTGCTTATTATCCGTTCTTCTGGTTATCATTTATAACTGTCGAAATTAACTTGAGAAACTAGATAGGACAATAGGTCTCCTGGACACATTTGAGAACATTTGATTTGGAAAGTGTTTGGCTTTAAAAGAGTATTTTATATGAATCTCTAAATTACCAAAATATCAACCATATTTTTGTAATCATTTCATTCTTTTAAATGTATTTTTGTACCACTATTATATGCTTGTGCCTATCTGTAAGTTTGTATCTCTGACGGATAATGAGGAGTTGGTGTTCTAAAGGCATTTCATTTTATTCACAGCTATAGTATTATGTAGAAGAGTATGAATAAAATTGCTGTACAAAAGGGATTTCATTGTATTTAATGCACTGACGGTATCTGTAACAGTTAGAAAATGTACCCTGACCACAAAGCATGTTATGTACATGCTTTGTACATATTTTACATGTCAAAATAGACAAAAAAGAAGAACAAGAGAAAACTATAAAATGTCTGACTTAAATAAATGTAAGACTGAACTTGTGAAAGTTTCCAAATATTTCCATACAGATGTAGTACCAAAACTTGCAGGATTAAAATACAAACTCAATCCAAACCACTTTTTTGTATTTGTGACGTGTCAAAGTTTCCAGAACAAAACTATGAATAGGGCTGGGAGTCAGTGACTCACTCATGTGCAAACAGTGGGTGAGTCATCCGGATAACCAAGAAAAAACCCTGCAGAAAAAAGTAAAGTCGAGTCAGTTGCGCTCAGTGCTCTGATAGGAATGATCAATACCAATACAAAACTGATATCATGACTAGAATATTGACCGTTACTCATTACACCCAAAGATAGGGCCCAGCTCTACAGTGCAACTTTCAAGATAAAGACATTCATTTCACAAGTTGGCTACACCTTAACAGCGTGTGCTAATATTCAAACAGATCTCAAGTTGTAACGTATTGTTGTTATTATATATCTTATTATGCAGTAATAAAGTAAATAGAGACCATCAGACCATTTCTCACACTCTAATAATCAGCCTCCACATGCGCAGACTGCAGACACACAGATGATGGCAGTATTGCTCAGAAAGAGGTCAAAGAAAACGAGTCAAGGTTTTTCAACCACTTTAACTGTAAACTGTGTTTAGATTCATGTTGGTGAGGTTGTTGTTTTCCTCATATCAGTGTTTGCATCCAATCAATTTGAAATACCCAATGTTTCAGCACACAAATAAACCACTTATGTCTCAGATGTTTTTTTCATATTCATCTCTTTTACACGCAGATTCTTGAATGTACCCATGCTAGAGGTCCACATGGACTTATCCCTTTATTCTTTAAACCTGACATCTCATTTTAAATGTAAACTCTTACAACACTGTATTAACCTCTTAGTGCCATAGGGGGAAAGTATGCCTGGCTCTCCTATTGTCTGTACATTGTTATTGTATTCTTAGTAATTAGTGCATTTTTTGTTAGTTGATTTGGTTAGAAGAGAATTATTAAGAGAGCCACCATGTAATCACAAGAGACTTTAAAACTATATTTGGTTTAAGGGCCCCTCTACAAGATTAGGTCGTCATACAGGTGTGGCTTTAACAACTTAACATTTTTACTTTTGTTAATTAAATGGTAGTTAGTATCCTCTTTGTTATTGTTATTTGTTAGCTTAGTTTACTGGTAGGTCAATGAGACTGAAGTATGAGAACGCCCTCTGCTGGACTACAAACAGTCTACTTCAGACAGCCGGTTGCTCTTAAACACTTTGTAACTAAAACTTCAAACAGCTCGTTAAAGTTGAATATTCCCCTGTTCAAACAAACGTTAGAAATACTAATAAAAAGTGACAGGGTTGGTGTGCAGTATTAAAAAACTCACAAACTAATTGCCACGCAGTAACCTTTGCACTAAATGCTCTGCGGCCCCCCTGACAGTTACCTGCTAAACCTGACCCTGGACTTTTTTCACTAAACTCTATAGTAACTTCAACCTATCTTTATTTCTTAAACCCCTAAAAAAAGACCTGGAAAAACTGGAGGTCTTCCCTCAGCAGGTCAAACATGTCATTTCTAAGGAGATGAACCTGCCTGTCTTTGCTTTTAAAGCTGATCATATTCTCAGTACCAAGAAGAAACAACTCCAGAAGAAGGTAATCATTAAAGTTTGTCTCATTTAAGAAGATGACAGATGGAACTTTAGTAATGCATCTTAGTGAGGAGGTAAAGATTGAAATGCTAGTTAAATTGTGATTTGGTGCATTGACTGCATGTGTCTGAGCTGGTAATAAAGCTCACAGAGGATCCTTTGGAGAGAAATGCAGCCCTGATGTTGTAAAACTTTCCATTCTTCCACAGCGCATCATTATACAACCTTTCCTTCTATCATTTTCTACCTCGTGATTCTGGTGCAATGAGTGTTTGTTCGTTTATAATTTAGTTTTCCAACTTTTGTTTCTCATCCTTTCATTTTCTCACAGGCTGTTGGCAAACGTCATATGATCATGAGGAGATCACAGGACGCACCTAAACTTGACGGTATTTTTTTTGTTTCCTGCCCCGAGGCACCAGGGTATGATATTTCTGCTGAGTGCTATTGAAGAAATAATAAAACACATCAATATGTCACCATTCCCAATTCTGGAGACTCTAGGGACGCACACTGGTCACGTACAGTGAAAGTATGAATTATTTAACTATAGACTCATAGACACAAACACATCCACATAAAGTCAAATGCACACATTTACACACATACACACACGCTGACACACAATCATGGCTGTGGAAAAAGCAGCAGCGAACAACAAGCGTTCACTCGGGTCAGAGAGGAAAGGCAACGGGAGAATAAAAGAATGAGTGCAGAGTGAGAGGCGGTGTGAGGGTGGGGGATGGGGGGCAGAGCGGTAGGATGCAAGAAGAAGGAGGGGTAAGATTAAAAAAAACAGGGCTGCACTTTAATTGAACTTTTTAGTTGGTTAAATAAAATAGGGCGAAAAGCAGTGAAAGTATGGGAAACAGCACTTTTCTTTTTCTCGGCTTTCCCTCATTGCATCTATCCTCTCGTCCACTGTAGCTCACTGTACTTCACACGACCATCCCCATAAACATCTTGATCTACTTCACTTCTTTACATATTTGACCTCCCTCCTTTAAACCCTTCCCTTCTGTTGTCCCCTATCTTCCTGTTGAACTTAGAGTAATGCAGCATCATTCAGTCCATACAATGCTGTTTTACAGGGCTGTTGTCACGTAGCACCTCAGAGGGGCCCTTGGCTCATTAAACTGTAGGTGGCAGTGGCAGAGTGGAACACTGCAGAAACAGAAGAGAAGTCTGGACCACGACTTTGAGCTAATTTAAAATAACTTGAAGAAAAATAAACGTTGTTTTTAATTTCGATTCAACACGTCTTCAGCTTTTCTCCTTCTTAATCTAAACGCTCTCAACTCTCGCTCTCCCTCCAACTCATAACAAATGAGCGTGATAATTAGAACCACAAAGACTGGAGGGGGAGGGAAAAGTAAGGGCGGGGGGGGTGAAGGACAAAAGGAATAGAGTGTGAGTAATACAGGCGTCTGGGTGCAACTGCCCAGGCATCTGGAGGTCTAGTCTCATGTACACAAGAAGACTCAAATTGAGTCATGCACAGACGCACACACACACACACAAAATCCAAAATCCCCTCTGATGCTATCAATGCAAAAGTTCCAGTGTAAAGTGACGAGATGCGTGTGTGGGCAGGATTATAAGAAATGCATTACTCTTTCTGTTAGATTCCTGTAAGAGTGAGAATAAATGAATTACAAATGTCTGGTTGAGAAAGATTTCAATACAAACATGCATGCATGCACACACATATTCATATAGACGAAGATGCATTCAAAGCATATTTCACACACAGATGGCCCAATTAATAGGATATTTGCGCCCAAAATCTTTTTATTTTTGTCCAGCTGTGATTCCACACATAATGCACACTTTCAATCTCCATTCTCCGTTCCTCTTTTCCCCTCATTCTGTAAACGCTACAATCTCCTCTGCTCTAATCAAACCCACATGGTTTTGGTGGGTCAGCACGGCAGCAGCTTACAGTGCTTCACACTTTTGGCCGTGAATGTGTGTGTTACACTGTGGCTGTTTGTTGAGGACACAGTCCTTTAAAAAGAAACCCTGTGTATCCTGCTGTATAAGGAGGGAGTGATTATTGCGTGTCAGACTGTGATATAAGACAACAGAGGTGGCAGAATTGTGCAGTATTTCATAAGAAAAGGGCACAGATTAAAGAAAAGGACACCACTTTGTGTCGCAGAACAGTTTTTTCCCCTTTCCTGCCCAGTTAATCTTCCCTCAACCCTTCATATTTATCGCAGGACCCCTAGGGGAGGTCCTAACCCGCCACTGACACAGCAGTAAATCATAAGAGAAATATACTGTTAATCAGGGCACTTTTGTCCGCATGCATGCGCACATCTTGCCCAGTGGCTTCCTCTGGGGGTTGAGGCCACTGATAATGACTTCCAGGAGTCAGCGACGAGGAAGGCCAGGGTCAAGTTCACATCTGGGATTACCAGGGTTACCGGGGTTACTGGTGAGCAGTTTTTACTGGGTGTCATCTGGATGATAAAGTGGAGAATGTTACTGAAGAGTGACTTTACTACGGGCTGATCACACACACTTTCACAGGCACACACTTTAACTTGTGCAGACAAGGAGCTCCTTTTCGAAAATGAATGTTATAAGGACCACATCTACTATGGACGGCACCATATTAAAACATACAGAAAATGTTGCATGGAGTTTAATATGGTGCATGTATAGTTTCTCATTCCACACCCAGATAAACTGGGACAATACATGTTCTGTAGACCGTCCAACCGGTTCAGATATGTGTCATTTGAATAGGGAGAGGAAATAGGAAACAATAATCAGCACAGGAGGAAGTGAGAGTGGAGATATTGTAGAGTTCACGCTGAGGAGAGCGCTGATACAAGGTTCAGCCTGATTCAAATGAGTCAGACCCCCCAAAAGGAAAACAGAGAGTAAAATACAGACTATTATGGTTTCGACTGCTGCAAGCAACTGTGTCTCAATGTCAGATTTAGTTTTTTGAAAATGATCAATTTGGGACAGAACAGGAGATTAAAACATTGAATGCATGGATATAGAAAACATGAAAAAGTAAGTATTGATAACTCTCATTGTAGATACATCTGAGATAATATAAAGGTAAAGCTAAAACTATGTCAAACTGACACAGCAGCTAAGCTCCCCAAAGGAGATGCTGGAAACAGTAAATGTTAGGAATTGTGAAGTTATTAATGTATTATCTAAACAGTTGCTTCTGTACTTTCAGAGGTACAAAATATAATTTAGGTATCAGGATTTTCCAAAAGCAAAACAGACAGTTTTGTATTAAAGCTGCAGTTTATTTCTTCATTCTTAATGGTGTCACTCTGCCATCATGAACTCAGGCTGCTAAGAGACAAATGTTATTATAAACAAGTCACAATACTCTTTGTTTGGCTTGCATGTAATAAAGCATGTGAATCTCTGCGTTGGCGGTTGAGTATATCAGTTACAGACAAGGGTATGAGAGAGAAACACAGAGAGATGAAGACAACAAAAGGACTAACAGTATACGGGCGAATAATGGTGGGAAGGGAACTTAAGGAAATGAAGATGAGTGAAATAAAGTTGGCACCAGAGGAGCAAACCAATACCTCTACACCTCGAAAGATAGAGGAGTCTCTCTTTACATATCTGCTTCATTCTCTCAGTGTCTCAAGCTCTCCATCACTGTCACTTTCTGTTTGCCTTTGATCTCCAAGGTCTCTCGCTCTCTCGCTCTCTTTGCTGACTCACTCTCCCTATCCTGTTCCCCAACAATGAGATAAAAAATGACCTGCACTCTAGTCTCTAACTTTCTCACTAACGCTTCCCCCCTTTTCTTTCTTCCATCCTCTCCCTTTCTGTTTTCCCCTTCTTCTTCTCTTCAGCGTGTTTGAGGAATGTGTCAGAGCAGCACAAAAGAACAAAAGCTTGACAGGAGGAGGAGGAAGAAAATGAGGAGGGTGGGGGGGGGGGGGGTTGCGTGAGGTAAAGGAGAGGCAGAAAGGAAAAGGGGGAATGGAGGGAAGGAATGAGTGCAGAGAGAAAGGTTGATATGAGCAGAGCACGGTTGAGTGCATCTGAATGCTGAGCGGTGCTTTGTCATCACGTGCTGACATGCAGCATCACACACATTTCAGAGCTCTTTATCAAGCCCCCTCTGGACAGCATGCACACAAGATGGGTGAGGCTGTCGCTGGGCTGCACGGCTGCCTGTTGGATTCAGTGGCCTTTGATGCATTTCTTGTTGTGTCATGCTAATATGCTAATAGCCTGCAGCGAGGCTGAAGATGAATTTCCCCAACACCGGACAGCTCTCCATTGTAACCTTTGTGTTTGCATCAGTCACTTTCAAACTGGGCATGATCAACTCTCCTTCATCTGAACAGGCCATGTTGCAGAGACCACCGTAGCAGTAGAGAGGCAGCCTGATGCTGCTTTACATTCATATATAACATGTGTAGTGGATGTGAACCAATCAGGCCTTTAAATCGTACTTTTCTACTTTCTACTGTTTTATTTCATTATTGCATGAGCAAACATGCAAGTCAGCTGTCATGGTGAACAAATATAGTGAAATGGAGGTGGAAGAGGAAATTACAGTTGGCTGTCCATGCCTCACGGTTATTAGAACTTGTGAGCACATGCTGTGATTGTGGCATGGTGTGTGGCCAATGACGTGTATGTGTGCGCGTGTGTGTGCGTGTGTGTGTCTGATAACGGGAACAATGTGAGTGAGCTTTGTTCACATCAAACAGAGCAGCTGACCCGATGCAAGGCTCTGGATTTGAACGCATGTCTGTGCGTAAAAGCGCGTATTGCGTTACCAAGATTCAATCTGAGCCAGTGATTCACCTTTGTTAGTCAGTGAGTCTGTTATAAGTCTGGCATGGAGCCGGTGTATTAGCGGGGTCCGGGGTGTGTGCGTGAAGTCTATACGGCCTGTTGGGGGGGCTTCCTCCAAGATGCCCGGTTTACCTCGCGCTAATTCGCCGTGCAGTGTAGCGGATAGGATCATCCATCAAAAGTCAATAGTTAACGTCGGCTTTGTCCCGTTGCCATCCATCATCAGCGCGTGCGCGTGCGCCGACATACACTGTGTGTGTGTGTGTGGGTGGGTGTGTGTGCTCTTTATAGGACTCCCTCCAACCACGCGGGCCCCTGACCCTGCCCCACAGGCCCGTCTGACGCGCGGTTCCAAATGCCCCGGCGTCTCCTCCTCCTTTCCCCTTTCTTCCGTCCGAGCAGCGGGGGGGCGAAAAGCCCTGAGGATACCCTGCCGACCTGCGCCAATCCCACCTCTTATTTTAATCTCTGCCTCTCTCTCCCCTTTGCCTCCCTCCCGCGTTCGGAGTGATTTTTCCTCTGACGCAAGCCCAGTTAAATGGATAGCCCACCGGTCGAGGCCAGAAGCTGTATCCCATTACCACCACTTTTATTTTTATGACACACCGCCGTGGCTCACAGGAGGCTGGGGGGTGGACTTGGCCTCTCTTCTCACAGACACACAGACACGCACGCGCACTCACACGCAAACACACTCTGCCACCCTGCACCCTTCAGTCTGCCAGTTGACTGGTTCTTCCTTTGCACCGCCCTGCCAAGACGACATGTTCTGTCAACAGACTGGTCTGGCTTCCCTGTTTGTACAAATAATGAAACCGCATTGAAGTCACTAATTTAACCGACATATGAGCCTACTGGCTGCCTCATAGGCCAAACACCTCATACACCTCGACATTGTGATATCATATAACATTATATCAAGGGGTTTCTCCAGAGCTCACAGGACCATCAGGGCGCGGTCACTCTGGCTTTCAAGCTAGGCGCGTGGATCAGATGGGTCTATCAATTCTGTCTCTATGGACAGCCCTGAAGTGCACATGTTGCATTCAGGGGCGTGGTCAGGTTGAGGCATTGATAACTTTTGCCGGTATTCTGTTGGCCTTCGGGGCGGGTTCGTGTTTTAGGGGCGTGTACATCCCTACACAAGTAGCTCTCCGTGCAATTCTATTAAGCGCAGCCACTTATACAGTGCACCAGCACAAAGGTAAGAGTCTAGACCAGAGCCCTGACAGTCCACTCATCTCGGGAAGAGGGCAGCAGAAACTGACGCGCAGAGCCAAAACCTACGGTGCGCACACACACCCAGACGAGACTCAGAAGGGACAGTTGGAGCATTTTGGAAGCAAGACGCGCAGGACATCAGCGCACCGAGCACACTTGGACCTGACAGTACACCTATTAATCCCCAAAATACCTGCAGCATAAAATGGAGCGAAAAATCCCTGATTTCGCCGGCACTTGGGAGATGAAGACTTCTGAGAACTTCGAGGAACTCTTAAAAAAGTTGGGTAAGTGACTCAAGTTATTATTTCAAAGAAAAACCCCTGGCCGAATGTGGCAGTTTGAATTTTTGCGCAAGAGTGGCTTTAATTTCTGTGCGTAATGACACAGATAAGATGTGTCAGCTCAAACTGCAGCTTTCTCAGCACATTTATAGGTCAAATCTTCCTCTGTGCCCGCGCACCAGGATCACCCTCTGTACCGCATGGGTAGGGGGTCTTTGTCATTCTGCAGAACCCAAAACTGAGTGCTTGGCCTCCAGCCAGCATCACCCCTCGTCCTCTCCTCTCCCCCTTTGGCCTCCCCTGCTAACACAATAGAGACAAACGGCAGCACATCTGTCTGTAAAACAGCCTCGGATTTTGTGTGTGCGTGTGTGTGCGTGTGTGTGCGTGCGTGCGTGCGTGTTTTGTTTGTATTTATTTATAGAAGGACCAAAAACATTCATCTCAGCAAAGAGAAGAGATGCAATATGCCAGATTATAGCTAATAGCTAATTTCCATCTGTGGTCCTCAGGCAGGTTCATAACAATCAATAAACAAATAATAACATTGCATGATCAGTCAAACAATTTTAAAACCTGATTTAAGTACAGCTCAATAAATTAATAAATAGTACACTTGAAATACACGTACATGATCTCGGTCACTCAAATAATTATAAAGCCTGATTTAAATACAGGTTACGAACATAATACTTAGTACACTTCAAATACACTTAAATAAAAATATCTAAAATATAGTATGACAATACAGTTCAAATAAAAAAAAACTCAGATTACAGTGTAATTAATGTTGTGTGTTTCTTAAAGAGGACCGTTATTTCATGATACAGTGCTGGACAGTCGCATCATTATCTGATGTGACAGAAGGGGAAAAAAAGACAAACACTTGCTGCTGAGTTTCTCACTGTTTTGTAACTTCACTATATGGAGTCTGCACAGGCCGCGTGTGTGTGACTCTGCGCGTGCATGTCAGCGTCAGAGCCGTCTGTCGTTAGTAGCCAATTCCCATGAAATGACTTGCCAGCACACACCTGGAATTCATATAATCACGTAGGCGCACACGGAGACATGAGTTCATGAGTTTATGAGATGACTACACCAAACAACAGGGCCTTTCTTTATCTCTCTCTCTTTTTCTCTCTCTCACACACACACACACACACACACACACACACACACACACACACACACACACACACACACACACACACACACACACACACACACACACACGACGTTATTAAAATAGCTGGCAAGTTGCGCTATTGTTCTGAATGTAGACACATTACCACATGGGTGGGAGCTCAAATTCCAACTTCCCTGTTAGATTGACACACCAATTAGCATTTAATATGTCTCAAACTGTCTGTTTATCTCCCTCTATTTATGTTTCTCTGTGTCTCAGCCTGTGTGTTGGTGAGTCAGGCGGAAAGTAAGGTTCTATGACAAATGGAAAAGTGGCAGATATTGCCCCGTGTGTAATGAGAGGGCATTTGTGCATGCTTTTGCACAAGTAGGCGTAGACGAGGGTATAGAGATGTAAGAAAAGTATTCATTGAGGAGGATCTGCAACATAATTTAGGTTAAACTCCACCAAGTGCCACTGTTGAACCCAATACTCTTTCTCACACACAAACATGTATCCCAGCATGTGTTCCTATACTTTCCCTCTGACTAACTGAGAGGAATGGCCCCTCGGCTTCATCGGGGAGCAAAGCGCAGCTGGAGGCAGCCTGTCAGCACCCAGCACCCTCCATCCTCTCTCCCTTTCCTCACTCCTGCCCCCCTCCCCTCCAGTGTCCCAAATGCTTCCATGCCCTCTGCTCTTTGACCTCCAACCCTGACCGTCTGTCTATCCATGTGTGTGTGTGTGTGTGTGTGTGTGTGTGTGTGTGTGTGTGTGTGTGTGTGTGTGTGTGTGTGTGTGTGTGTGTGTGTGTGTGTGTGTGTGTGTGTGTCCTCATGTGGCCAGGTTTGTGTAAATATAAAAAGTCTGTTTAGGTCATTTTTTACTTCTAAAACTGGCAGTGTCTTGAGAAACTTCAAACCGGTCCGCAGTCCGGCACTGACTCCTCTCTTCAGTCTGAGCCATCATGAAGAGTTCAGTCCACTCGCCGGTTGTTTGCCTGAAGTAATCCACACTTTTAGGAAGGAGACATTTTTGTTCTCAAGAGGCTCTGGAGCTATAATGCTGGTTGAACCCCACTATCAGTTTACTGACCTTTAGATTAATTAATCTTTATAATGTCATTATAGGAAGTGGTACATATTTTTTTGTATACTCATTCTTTGATTGTGTGGGGTTCTCATTAATTATATATAACTATGCAACTGATGTCCGCTAAATGTACCAGTAGACTGAGTCTCTTTGTGTCTGGGAATTTAACGTAGCTATTTGCTAACTGGGTTAATTTAAGATGCATCATATTTAAAGTAAAAAATGTACCCTTAAAATGTTAAGTATTATTACAATACAATACAAAGTACAGCAGAATGTGAGCTTAAGCGCAGTACTTGAGTGCATATACTTAGTATCCACACTTGACTGCAAATCTGTGAAACTACTACTACTATATATGAAAATCAAACACACGTTTATAAGACACTGATATGTGTTCAACATGCGGCCCGATGCAAGAGGTGATAATGAGTCTATCACAATGAAAAAATGGTTCTGCACTCGATGACACTGCACATAAATACTGTGTTGTGTCTGCTGTACATACAGTGCATACAGTGTGCAGCCTGGACTAATGCTCGCTGAATGACTGTGCATTTCAGAGTGTGTATATATTTACCCATGGTGACAGGTGGGAATGTGTGAGAGGTGAGAAGTGCGAAACCCAACTCGACGGCAGATACACGGAGGACGACGTACACACACTTCCCCTCACACTTGGGCTGAGATCTTCACACACCACCCACAGACCACTGCCCCTCGTCTGTCTGACCTCCCCCTCCCATCTGCCTTCCCTCTCTCCCTCTGCTCCTGGTTCCCTCTCTTTTCCCACGCTGTATGTGAGCATACGTGTGCTATATAATTGAAAAATGGAGAACAGTGCAGATTAAATTACAGGCAGTACAAATAATCATATTAGCCCATGTGTTTGAGTGTGTGTGTGTGTGTGTGTGTGTGTGTGTGTGTGTGTGTGTGTGTGTGTGTGCGTGTGTTATTAAGTCTGGAGGGAATGCAGATGTGCCGGTCTTGACCTCATTGTTTCCTCTGTCATCATTATTGGACAGAGCTGCGCAATGCTGGGCTGCTCCTTTTACCCTGAGTGTGCAGGCAGACACTGTGAACAAACAGCTACACACACACTCACACACACTCACACACACACACACACACACACACACAACACACACACACACACACACACAAACACACACACACACACACACACACACACACACAAACAAACACACAAACACGCAAGCACACGCAGTCCCCTGTCATGCTTCAAATACAAAAGTTCCTGCATACAATGACGAGAAGAGTTTGTGTGAGTGCAGGATTGAAAGAAATGTCTGTTTAACTTCCTGAAAGAATAATAATAAATGTAACAAATGTCTGGACATTGCATGCACACACAAAAGTGACAAAGCTGCATTCATTTTGATCAAACCTTAATCTCTTTTTATATACCTGTCTAGTTTATCATTGTCATATTTATGCGGGTTTTCTTTCAGGTGTGAACATGATGCTGCGTATGATTGCGGTGAAGGCAGCCTCTAAGCCCCTGGTGGAGATCACGCAGGACGGAGAGACGCTGTCCATTAAAACCTCCACCACCGTCCGCACCACCCACATTACTTTCACTGTGGGGCAGGAGTTCAATGAGATCACTGTGGACGGACGCCCCTGCACGGTACACAGCACTATTTTCTCTGCACACACACATAAGTAAATAGAATAAATATGCATTTGGGGAGGGAGCTGTCCAGATTACATCAATCTGTTTCATTTGGCTTTTCATCATATTTGGACTGATAGCCTTTCTTTACTCCTCCCTTAAGTCTCTGAAGGCCTATCATTCTACACTTTCCTCGACCCCTTTTAACTTCTTGTCATCCCTCTGTTCCCCCTGCTTGCCCTCCGTCCCTCCCTAATTCTCCCCGTTGCGTTCCCCGTTTTCCCAAACATAGCCTCTGTTTGTCCGTCTCCAAAGCAAACATTTGCAACCGTAACAATGAGCGCATCACAAGTTATCACTTCTCAGTGATCGCCTGCTCCACCTTTGTTGTTTCTCTCTCCATTATCTCCCTTCCCATCTGAATGGCGTCACATACATCAGTGCATTCATTCATCTATACATCCAACAATTAGCATGCATCCAACGATGTATCTCCTTCTCTCTTCATCTGTCTTCAGAGTCATCCACGCTGGGAAACCGACAGTAAGATCAGCTGTGAGCAGACTCTGCAGAAAGGAGAAGGGCCTAAAACATCCTGGACCCGAGAGATCACCAATGACGGCAAACTGATCCTGGTACAGTACACAATAGTTTAGATGTAGAAGCATAAAGATTCTATAGAGATGTTGCGTTTGTGCAACTAAATCACTACAGACTATAATCTGAAGTGTTTTCTTTAGATTGTATAATTATGTAATTGAGTTTAGAGAACTGAAATGCCAATGTAATTATTTTCCTGGCAGGAGATGAAAGCTTCTGTGTCGCGCTTGAAGTCATGGAAGGGAGTGTGCAAACAGTGTCTTATCTGAAAGGGCAGGGCAAACAGAGAACTGGGACGTAAAGTGATTTGTGAAGTGAAGGCTGATAAAGAAACACAAAAAACGATGTTACTGAATATAATTATTTCTTTCTGACAGCTACCAAAACTCTCCTCTGTGAAAAATAAGGTGCAAATCCACAGAAAGAACTCTATTTAATAAGAAATGACCAGGCTGTCACAGGTTGACTGAAAAATAACTATCTGACGAAATTAACCGGTTAACCATTCCAACCAGAGAATGCGTCCTAAAGTTCTCTCAGGAGTAAAACAGAGCTTCAAATTGAACACAGTTTAAACATAACTATTTTTGAAACAATGGTTGCTTGGGTGTTTTCAAATCAGAGACTCCTGGCATGTTTTTAAAACACCAAAACTACAACTGCTCTTTAGAAGCCAGCCGTACTATAACGTGTTTTGCAAGGAGCTGCATGTTTGCTTAAAAAGATTCCTTATTGTTTGTTCGAAAGAGTTTCACATAGTGATATATTCACCACTGGAGACATTAACAACTGGTCAATTTGGAGGTTTAAAGGTTTAAAATAAACATTTATGATAATACTTAAAGGTGGGGTAAGTTTGAGAAACCGGCTCGAGATACACTTTTTGTTATATTCCATGGAATGCTCTTAACATCCCGATAGCAATGAATATCTTAAGTGCTTTGACAAAAAATGCATAACAAAATGTCACCTGTGGAAGCCGTAATACTGTAAAAATCACGACCAATCATTTTAGCCGGCCCGGCTAAAGTAACTGGATGGCCTACCTGCCTGTCAGCCTTCCATCTGTGCACAAACTTTTCTCGTGCCCTCATTGGTCATGTGCGCGTTCGTGTGTGTTGGAGGAGGGGCTCTGTAAGGAAGTGGCAGATTGTTTCCGGCTGTGTATTTTCAAATTCTAGCGCACTCGAGCTGGTTTCTCCAAAATTACCTACCCCACCGTTAACTTTTAAAAACTGCCAGTATTTAACCACCCACATTCTCCTCTTTACAGACCATGGGAGCAGACAATGTGATATGCAGCAGAGTCTACGAGCGGCAATGAACAAGAGCACTTCTCACTTTTTGTCCCCCCCCCCTCTCCTCTCCTCTCCTGCATCACCACCACCCTTTGTTAAGGCGGCACTGGGAGATATAAGTCTCTAGTTATTCCAGTATCTCTGTTATCTTCACTATGTAATTCATGTGGTAACTGTATCTAGTATTTCACATATCTACACGATGGTCTTAGCTCCTGAGTTATCCCGCTGTCTCTCCAGCTCCAGCAAACATGACCAGCTGGGTTTTAAACACGAAAATATGATAGATTTGTTGATTGACAGCTCATTTATCTGGCATTGTGTGCGTGTCTGTGTGTGTGCGTGTGTGTGACTACATTTGTAGATGTGTAACCAATCTTTGAGCTCTCAGGTCAGTTTTGATGTGCCCCTTCCTCTCTTTTCCTTTAGCCCTGCTCCACAAATTTAACCTTTTCTATCTCATGACGACATTTTATATTTATTACCACACTAGGAGTCTGATCCAGTACTGCTAAAGTTTTTACTCTGTCTCTTTTTTATGAAATGTGATCCTAGGAAACAACACTTTCTATGGAAAAACAATAAAGCACGATATTAACTCAGCCTGACGTGGATTCTTGGCCCTCCTGAACTGAAAACCATTAGGGACATAACGCGATTAACAGGGCACATGTTTTATGGTTTGAGAGTGTAGCTGCAGAACATGTACACATTAGATAGCAACATCTTATTTTAGGCTCTCGGCAGCTGTCTGCAACTAGAATAACTTGTCTGCCCCCCCCCCCCCTCTCAGTTTTTCTGTCTTCCCATCCATCTCTCTGTCAATCATCTCTCTGCCACATGCCCTCGTTATTCCTCCCTCGCTGTGATTCAAGGCTCAACATCTTTTTCCATTTGACTTTTTTCTCTGTCAGCTCACTTTTCTATCACACATTTGGATTTGCTCATCCTGCAATTTTCCCTGGCATGTGAGGCGACATGCAGAGAGCCAGCTGAGGGACTGCCACTATTAGACTGCAACGTTTCATTTCCATTTCACAGGCCAATTGGATTTTTTGTTCATATAACTCTGGAAAAGTCTTTAAAGGCATGTTGAAGTACAGGAATAGTTTAAAATGTTGGGAAAGCGACTTGACAATACTCAAATGAGAATAACCATACCACACTGGTTAGCTTAGCTTAACAGAAAGACTTGAAACAACTAGCCAGGCACATCGTGGAGGTAACAACATTGGCATAACAGCACCCATAAAGCTCACTTTTTTACGTGTTACATTGTTTTTATAGGGCAAAAATGACAATACGCTGCTGTCCATCACTGAAATTTCAGTATTTAAACCTTGGCTGGTTAGTAGATTTCGCAATTATTTGTCGGAGAACTTGTTTTTTTCCCCCTGTTTCCAGTCTTTACGATAAGCTAGGCTTACTGGCTGCTGGATCTAGCTTTTACCTATACTATGACCTTAATGTCACTTGCTATTATTCCCAAATATTTAATCTAACTGTTATTTAGTTAAACCATAGCCTATGCCATGCCTGTTATTTAGTTAAACCATATGCCATGCAGTCAGTCATTTGACAGTCTGAAAAGCAGCAATGCATTTTGGGTCATTTGAGTTTGTCCAGTAAGCTCATAAATTCTAAATACGTTTCAGAAATTCTTGCTAGTCTAGTAAACTTCAGACATTTCTCACGTCTAAATACCTAGCAGTCAAAAATGCACTACATACTAAACTTTACGTCATACTTGGTATGAATGGTATGGTTAGTATGCCATTCAAACACAGCCCTAGAGGTGCATTTTGGAATGTTTTGGGTCGAACAGTGAGCTACTCGTGAATCATCAAATGGTCAGTGGGCATGTCGGAAACAGGAGGAAATGCCAATTTGATTACAGGGCACAGCAGATTGACAGCAGATGTGCTTGACAAGAAGAGAGCTGTTAAGGGACCTGGAAATGAAAAAAGGCGGTGAGAAAGATGGATGACTCCCGGTTTACACACACACAATCACACAATCACACACACACACGCACAGGAATTTAGTGATGCAAAATGGCTCTTTTCTTTTACAAACTATCTCTTCTTTATTTCTCTTCTTGCCCTGCAGCTGTGTAGTTACAGTGTGACCCCAATAAAGTCCCCTCCTCTGCCTGCTGCCCCAATAAAAGGGGTAAATAACTACGCCTCCCTCACTGTTTATTACCCCCTGGGGCAGTAAAAGGCAGCTGTCTGGCCTCCTTCAAAAAGGCTGGCCTGCGCCGGACCCCTGTAAAAAAAACACGCATGTACACACACACATTCACATACTAAACTAAAAACACACATTCTGGGAACTCTTCACACATACCATCAAACACTCACAGTACACACAGCTCATAAAACACTGTCGTGACTCACCCTAAAGGGGGACAACAAACTGCCTGGTGCACAAAAACAGCAAAAAAGACGTTGCCCCACAATGTCTGAAAAACAAGAACAACCTGAACTAAGGGTGACGTGATATTCCTGTACTGACAATAAACATGAAATATAGCTATGATGTTTATAATCCAGCGCCTCTTAATCAATGCTTTTGTACAATGAGGCCTACTCTTACCACCTTTCTGCACTCATATTCTGAGTGTAATTCTTTTGCCAAAAGAGAAACTCCTGGCTGCATCGTTATCCCTGCAGGTTGTTGGCTTTTCCCGAAAATGTAATGAGGAACAGAAGACAGATTGGCAACATCGGGACAGACATACCTCACTCCTACACTCCCTGTTAGTCTAGAAATAAACAGGGACACACTAGAAAGAGTAAAAACATACCCACGCATACCAACAAAATAGAAAACACCTGTATGATGAAGGCCCACGCCGACACATAACTAATGCACTTCATCCATCAGAATTAAGTGGAATTGGATACCCTTTTAGCATGTCTAACAAGGTAACCATAGCTGTCTGAATAGAAACCTAACGTTAGCCTCTTTGTGTGAGAGCAGGTAGATTAGGTGCCCCGGGGCCAAGGCTCAGTCAGGCCGCTGTTTGATATATGACTTTTTGTGCAGATAGAAGTGTAGTGTGTGTACTTGTCTGCATACTTCAGAGCATGTCACAAAAGCCAAGATGGGTGATTTGTGATCTGGTTGAAGCAATTATTGCCACACAGGTCCAGTGCATTCTGTGTGATGTAGTAAAGAAGAGGGAGAGCACGTAGAAAAATTGCCCTCAGGACATCATGACGGGGAAAAAAGTCGCACATTTTCGTGCAAACAGGCACACAAATTCATAGAAAGAGCCAGCATGTGACAGAGCGATGACAGGTGAGTCTCATTAAACACCCTAACATACTGTACTGTCTCTGTCCAGGATATTGATCTACACCCACACACACCTGCAAGCCTGCACAAAGTGATACACACATCTAACAGTCACACGCACAGTGGTAAAGTGCACCAATGTCCTGTGGCAAACGCAATTAGACCACCCAGGAACCTGTGAGGCCTCTTGTAAAACATTGGTCAAGAATAGTACACATGTGGGCATACCTCACACACACACACACACACACACACACACACACACACACACACACACACACACACACACACACACACACACACACACACACACACACACACACACACACACACACACACACACACACACACACACACACACACACACACAGCTGCTCTTACATCCTTACAGTCTCAATGTTTATGGGCAAAAGTAGAAAAAAGGAGTCATCAAAACCACACTGGCCCTCTTGAAACACACTTTTACACACATCCAAATGTAACATTTGAAATATAATCCCTTATATTATTGTAAAATTCCTATCTATTACTGTCAAAACTCACAGTTAATAAGCGCTTGGATTCATCCAGAGTGGGGAAGGTATTCGGTAAAGGTCTTGGGAAGACGTCTCTGAATAAATGGTTGGCACACATGACACTCAAACCTTCAAAAAGCCTTCTCTTTAATGTCTGGGCACAGAATTCTTCCCGAGGAGAAAATCAAATGAAAGAGGAGTGGAATGGAAAGAGGTGGGGAGAGTAAGTAAGAGACAAAAGGAGGGATGAGGTAAGGATGAAATGTGACATGCTAACTAAAGATAATTTATTCATTTACACATCGATGAGTTAAAGATTTATCTCATTTACTTTGCTCAGACATCTGGAGATCTAATGCTAGCACCATGGGGGCCATCATCATCATCCTGCTCCTCTGCTTAGCGTAGGACAATGGTCTCACAGTATACCCGAGCTAAGCTGAATGAAGTCTTTGTAGAGATGAAGAATGTAATATTAAAAGTGATTACAGACTCTGACGCTGACCTCTGGGTAGACAGGGAGGGAGATGATGGAAAGATGCAAGATACTGTTGACAGAATAAGAGAAAAGAGGCCGAGAGTAAGGAAAGTTAAAGAGAGGGAAGAGTTATCTTATGAGAGGAATAAGATTGCGTTTAAAATAAAGTAAATTAATATACTCTTTATGTCCTTTAGAGTTACTTCTCAGAAAAGAATGAATAATGTTAGCATTAAACAACTCTTTAAACACACCCTTACGATCAAAAGGTACAACAAATTAATCAAAATACAAGTAGTTAGAAAATAATATTAAATACAAGTAGATAAAGTAAGGTTTCGTTCAGCTAATATATTAATGTATATTGTTTTCTTTTTGTGGTTTAATATTTTATATGGAACATTTTTATCTTCCCAAATTGTGTCCGACCATTTGCTTCGTTGTGGTTCCTCATGTTCCAGCCAGTATTTTCTCATCTGTTTACATAACTACATATTGTACTTTAAATAGGAGACACCCAAACACTGCAAAGCATACAGCGTATACAGTTCACTTTCAAACCCAGTTGGGTATATGTGCAGTTTATAATGGAGCAGCATATCATGGAAAATTAAACACAATCTATTGGAATACAATGCAGCTGTTGTGCCATTATTCTTCACAGCTTTCAAAATGTTATTGTTGAAATTGTAAGAAATGTGTACACTAAGTTGTCTGTTTATTACTGGGATCATACTTAGATATGTGGCTTTGTGTTATCTCATTCTAGCCTCCACCCGTCTTGTTTCAGGCTTCCCCCAACATGTTGGGACAACAAGCTCTACCAACCATTTCTGTTTGGACTTCGCTTTGCCCACAGGGACAATACCATGCCGCAACTGGACACACTTTTAGAAAACTAAGACATCTTAAAATATAACTATCCTAAAACTTTGGTCATGCATCCTGCAACATAAGAATAATATGTAGAGAAGGAGAAAGAAAAGAGAGGCGCCCAGGGGATCATCAGGCATTACAGGATGATCAACTGTCAGAGCTCCATGACTCACTTCTTTTTTTATAGCTCACTGTCAGGGCACTCTCTCACATACCAAAAGGAACACACACACACATACACACACACACACACACACACACACACACACCACACACACCCACACACACACACACACACACACACACACACACACACACACACACACACACACACACACCCCTCAGCTATGCATTTTTGTTATGGATCAACAGATTCTTTACAAAATGAGTCCATTAAATTAATTAAACATTGAGTGATCCCAGAGGGCTT